ATGTTCAATTACATAAATAACCCTAATAAGTGAATATTTGATATAATTTACATTTTATAAAATTAATAAAATTCGTAAACACGAAAAAATAAGAAAACCTAAAAAAAATGGATCGATTGTAACATTTTTTAAAATTAATAATATTCGTAAACACGAAAAAAATAAGAAAGACGACTCTTAATTAATATCTTGTCCATGCCAAGTCTTCAAACCATCATATTGAATTATTGATGCTATCCTGCACCATAGAGTTCAAGCTAATAAAAGAGGGTGTTCTTTAAAATTACCTTGAATTATCTGATTGGATCATGCACGAATAATGAATATAGACTCGATGAAAGTGTATTAACCTCCATTGATCGTAATGAAAAACGTGGGATTTCGTAGAAGGAGACGGAGAATGGTCGTGTGTCTTTCTTTTTTTTTTCTTTTTTTTTTTCGTTTTGTTTTCCGTTTTTTTTTTGTTTTTTTTCTTTCTTTCCCAACCAATCGTTTGTGATAATTATGAGTTAAAAATTAAATTTTCCTTTTTTGATAAGTAGATATTGGCAAAAAATATCAAAACAATCCTACGTATATTCTTTAAATCTGATTCATATCTCTAATAAAATTTTATTTTTTAAATATTTTATGTCGATAATGACGGAAAATCTAAACAAATGTAAGATATAGTAGTAAATCTAAATCGTTATGTTATTATTCCATCTTTATCTTAAAATAAAATGAAACGTTACTTAAAATTAATATGTATAATATTGAATAAGACAATTTTAAATTATTAATTGTTATGATATAGATTCGCTTCTTAAAAAATATATAAATCTTCCTTTTTGTTGTAGATATTACACCGCCTCTTAATTTTATATAAATACCTGGATTGGTAGTCACCTTTAGATCACAACTAACCCCTGTTTTTTTTCTTCTGTAGTTTATTTATGGCTCGATTTTTATAAAAATATTAATGTTGTTTACATTACGTATGATTGCAGGATGAATTTGCATACACAAGTAGGTTTGTAGAGAGAAAGACGTGAAATATTACGGCTCACAATCGGTCTGATTTCAAAGTAGACCACTCAGGTACGGTGGCACCGGCGATGATGGTTTGCGGTCGGATTCATTACTTGGATGGACCGCCCCAAAAAACGTGACCAACATCAACGGTAACGGATGGACCGCCCCAGAAAACGTGACCAGCATCAACGGTGACGTTAATGGCACTCTTTGTCTTCTTTAAGATTAGTGTCTGATTAGGGTTTATGTGTGAATTGAAAGTTTTTGTTTTTTTAATGTGGCGTTTGTAGCTTGGATGTAGCGGTTAGGGTTGCAAAACGGTGGTGGAAGTGAATCGTATCCCGAACGACCGATTGTATATATATTACTTAAGAACGGTGTCTGCGGGTACGGGTCGAGACCCACAAAACTCGAGTTGGTAATCAACCCTCTCTTTCTCTCTGGCTTTGATAAAGTGTCTGTCTTTCTTTTTGTCTTCTTCCTATGTGTTTTTATTTTATTTTGATGGAGTATTTTTGTTAATAGGTGAAAAGTAGTTTATTAGATATCGCTGAAACAGAATCTATGATTTCATTTGTTCGGAAGCTCTCACTGATGTTTTTTTTTTCTCTGCTTTAGAACGTCTAAAAAGCAATCGTTTTGGAATTGGTTTCACTTTGGTGATTTGAGGAGTGTTTGAGTAAGAAGATTGATTCTTAATATTATGTTTTTCCATGGCAATAGGTATATGCCAATGATGGAGCTTGGTGTGTCGAGTAACATGTTTGATATCAAGAAGAACGCTTTGAAGAAGCTGTCTAAGCAACATGTGAAAAGTTGCATTTCAATACTCTCTTCGTCTTTCGTTTCATTCTCATGCGTTCAATCTCTTTCGTTTTAACTCACAAACTAAGTCTTTCTATGTTCAGAGTGCTTATCGAATCAAGCTTTTATCGTCGTACAAGGAAATGGTGAGTGTGACAATGCTAAATCTTGTAAATTTGGGAAATTTATTCTCTTGTAATTTGGAATCTATAAAGAAAACTTTAGAAAAATGCAGGTAGCCGTTGTTGTTGAGATGGTAAATGCAAGCAGATCTCTGAGATGTTATACCAAGCTAGGTACCGAGTCACTTGTACAGTTCTCTTGCTCTAAGGAAGATTCAAGTGATGCTGGAGATTGTGGTGGCATCCCTGTATTTAATTTTTGGAATGTCTCTACATTTGGTAAGACCCAAAAACAAAAGTTCAATAGTTGATTCTCATGTGTGGTCTCTAAGGTTTGGTACTTGCCATATTGATATGATCACAAAGAAGATGGCTGAGGAGTTTGTGGAGATGTTCATACGCGAAGTAATGATAAAGGTACTGTCTATTCCTAAGTCCTGCATATATCTTGGACTCTATATCAACTTTTGATCATTTTCTGAAAATTAACAGGGATTGCTCATAATGGAACTGATCTCTTTAAGCACTGAAGTTCCTCAACCCATCAACAACAGTTGGTCAGATGAGCTTTACCATGGGGAATTTATCACATCTCACCAAATGTTCTTTCTATTCCATGGAAGTAGCTGAGCCAGTTCTCCCTAGAGTGAAAGAAAATAATTTCGGTATTTCTTCTATATCACATACCAACCAGCCAACCGTAGAAATTTTGCAGGTAGGTGAGTTTTGATTCAGCACAAGTAAAATAGTCCGTTAACATTGTATCGTAAAACTTCAAATAGTTTTTGTTTGGAAGCTCTCATTGATGTTTTTAGTTTCACTTTTTAGGTCTTGTATGTCAATTCTCATAATATAAGCTGCAGAGTTTCTATAGATAATGGTACAGCACGTGTGTCAGGTACTCATTGATGCACTTTGGTTTTAACTTTCATCAACAATACTATAATTAGTGTATAAAATTCTCACTTTGATTACTTTCTTTGAGATAGCATTTTATGGAACGGGAACATGTAAATTTGGTTCTTCTTGCAAGTATCACCATCATATACAGGGAGAAGGAGGAGGATGAGGAGATTCTATTACTCATATCTCATTAAGTTATTCCATTATTCCCGTTTTGCTTAATATCTCTTTGGTCTCGGTTTTTATCATTTTATTGTTGGTTCATGTCTAGGCTCTTTTTTTTTGGTTTTCTATGTTTAATATAGTTAATTTGAAATTGGCCTTCGTTTTTGCAGATTTGGGCAGAATTTGAAACGGAGGAAACTGATCTCAACTTTAGCGGCAAAATAGGTTACATGAGCATGTTTCTAAATATATATATTTTGGTCTTTAACTACTCCAGGTTGGATCCTGGATTGGAGAAGGCGGCCTCTTTGCTGTTGTAAATACTCTTGTCTGCGACAAACTTGAATAAATCAAGTTTCTTAGCTGGACCCGAGAGAGATTTAAAGGTATGTTTCTATTTCCTTCTTTAGATGGAATTTACTCATATACTTGGATTTACTTTCGACATATCTGATATCTGGATTTCCTTTGTTTTTGGTTGTGATTGTTGATGGTATATTAACTAAGAACTAACATTCATATGTGCATGTTAAAAAAAAAAAGAAAGAAGATCATGAACTACACTTGGAGAACATTGAAGCTCTTCGAGAAATGCATGGCTAAGATAGAACAGTGAGACAGGACTGCAAGAAGTGCTTGAATCAGGAGGAAGGTAAGGTAATGAAGATGGTTAACATAAGAAGTTTGAGACATTGAGATATTGGCTTGGGCTTCAAGATGAAGAAGAGAGCGATCGTGAGATAGTTTGGTGAAGGAAGACGAGAAGCATGTTTCAAAGCGGATGTTCTTAACCGTCATTGAGATAGAGAGTGGTGGGTAATATTGGACTTCTTATAAAAACAATTTTAAGAAATGTTGGCAAAAGTGTGTCAAAGTGTCCATCTCCCATAGACAAAATGGTTTGTGTAAAGGTGGAGAACTTGGTTTGTTCCTGGAGGAGACAGTGATGACTTGATATGTTAAGAGTTGATATCGGCGAACCAGAACATAGCTTTCACGATGGTGTAGGTGGAGCACGTTAGTGTACCGTAAAGAGACGAGCACGTTTCGTTGTGTATTATTTGTCAACGATTTTTATCTACCCGTGTAATACGAATGGGAAAGCAAGTACCAACCGACTAATCGACACCAACTAAATTTTTATATCTAAAGGTGAAATTTCTATTAACTTATACTATAGAATATCCAAATTCATACGAAATATGTTCTTTCAGTTCAATTCAGTCATAGATTATTATTTTGATTCCTTGATTATCAAGAAACAAATGACTGAAGGCGTCTGGTGCTGACAAGTTTATTTTTACATATTTATTTTAATATCCAGTTTATATATTATGGACCTTTGTTGCAACGTAATGATTAGGTTTTTGTTTGTGGATTATGTTTGATCCATTAAAGTACAGGTTTGATTATTAGTTTAGCTCACTAATCATTATTGTGAACAATAAGGTCGGATTGTTTTATGGTTCTTGAATTAGTTTACATTTTTGACGTAACATTCTCTCTATTTCCAAATTCAAAATGAAAGAATAAGAGTGTTTCTTTGAATTTGAAAAAATGTTATTCATTTTTTCATATTTGAAAGTGCACTTTTTAAAATTATAATGATATTTTGACTTTTACTATTTTGAAAAGCATTCAAAATACACCCTAATTCGTTTTCAGCTTATTGTTTGAAAAACTTAACAACATATATTTTTAATACATATTGTTTGTTTTTAGTATTATAATGAAAAGTAAACCGTATGTGTGCTGAAAGTTGCAGGAATGCAGAGTTGTTTTGTGTTAAAGATCACAAAAATTTATAGTTATTAAGCACATTTTGCACTTTTGCAACGGAGTCTTGGAATCTCAAGTGCAAAATGTGTGATCCTTGCCAGCAAAAAAATACCACATCCTCCAAAACTCTAGACATGTAGGGTTGAACAGAACCTGATTGCATATACGTGCAGTAGTTCTCCTTAAGACACCTAATCAAACCAAAATAACATATTTAAAACAAACATTTGAAAATTACACAACATATACACAATTACATATTAATATATGTAGGTCAACACCTTGAGAATACTCTAATTTTGCGAATCAAATCACACAGACGATGATATGACCACTACATTTTTCTAACGATAAGCCAAAATTTATAGAAGACGAATTAATTTTTAATGATTAATGACAAAACTACCTCGAAACAAAAGAACACGTCTGGTTTATTATCCTGCTTCCTGAAAGAATTTCAAAATTCAATTATAACAGTTTATATTCTTTAAACTAATATTTTTCATAGATAAAACCAAATTCCACTCATGGGGAGAGCTTACAGAGGAGCAGGAGGTGATCCCGAGACTCCGTTGCAAAAATGCAAAGAAAACACTCATCAGATTGAATTTATTCCCAAGAAGCCTGTCTTTGATGAATGGACAATTATTTAAGTGTCTCAAGAGAGGAAGAGTGTCAGGTCCAAGAAAGTAGCTTAGCCCAAGAGCAAAACAACTTTTGTCGAGAATAAAGCCTAGAAAAAAACAAATTTCACACCTCGGAAGCGCCCACAGAGGAACATGAGATGATTTCGAGACTCCATTGCAAAAGTGCATAGACAACATTCATCAGATTGAATTTATCCCCACGAAACCAGTTTTTAACGAGTGGTCTATTTTTTAAGTGACTAACCCACATATTAAAAACATGCTTAAACACATCACCTTTGAACCAAACTAAGGCAATGTGGAGAAAAAATCATGACACACAACATCAACCAAAATCCAGTTTTTTATTGCATTTTTTTATGCAACTATCATTATTTTAATAATATATCTATTGTTTAAATATATCATTTTTCTCATTTATGTTTCTATTATATATATTATGATTAAACACTATTAATTGTTCATTACTAATAATGGTATTAAAATCCCTACAACCCCGCGCCGGGCGCGGGGACCGCTCCTAGTGTAATCATATAACAAATTGTTAAAAAAATGAAGAAAAAAAAGAATGATACGATCAATCTATTTGTATACTGTTATATTATACCATTCTATATTACCTTTTTGTTATTATTCGTTAAAAACTTTATCTATTTTTTGTGACCAATAATGATCCATAATTTATTCTACCCAATAACCACTAAACATGTTAGAATTGACTTCATACTTCCATTAAATAAATGAATTGAAAATCTAACCCTAACACGAAAATGATAGAACCAGACCAGACCAAAATTGACTCATAAAGATTCCAGCTCATTTTGACATTTCTAGTTACAAGTCACACTAAATACATGTTTGAAATGTTCGAAAAAAAACATTGCTATAATTAATTAAAAACAGTAGAAGGAAAAATTCGGTGAGAAGAAAGTAGAATGTTGCTAGAATCAATAAATTAATCAAAATAGGTACACAGTAGTATATAATAGACTAGTATCCCTCTAATCTAACGGTCCATTTATACCTGTCCCCATTACACATGTCAAAGATAATAGAAAAAAAACCCGAAAAAACCGCCATCTATTTTTTTTTTGCAGTTTAATACCTATGTTTTTAAATTTGGAATAATCATACCTCATTTAATTTCGATTGCCTTTTAAAACTTGGCGTTTTTTGCTCCCCTTTTTCATAATCAAAGGCCCTCCTGCAAATCCAAGACTTAACAGTCGTTACTGGATGTAACGGAATTATTTAACAGCGTTAAATTTTAACCGGGAAAAAGCCGAAAAAACCGCCATCTATTTTCTTTGGCCGTTTAATACCTGTGTTTTTAAATTTGAAATAAAAATACCTCATTTAATTTTGATTGCCTTTTAAAATTGAGGCAATAAAATTGAGGCTAATTAGAATAAAAACTAACTACAGTAGAACCTCTATAAATTAATACTCGATAAATTAATAAACACGATAAATTAATAAATTTGGCCGGTCCCGAGTCGGGCCAATGTAAAAACTAACCAAATTCGATAAGATAATAATTTTTTTGAAATCCCTATGTAAAAATATAGTCCCAATAATATCATAAATTAATAATCATGTAATTTTCACATATATATATATAATAGTTTTAGTGTTTTTCATAAAAATAGCCAAAAATTTTTGTAAGTTTTCAAATTTTGAATATGCATAATTTTTTTTTTTAATAGTCGTATATGTTTTAAAATACAACAATGGATGTCTTTGTGAATTTTAATTTATGTATATCGTTTGTATATGTGAATTCTATAATCGTTGTTATTCATTGTCAAAATAAATTATTTTTTTCGAAATATTAAGTGTTTAAAGCTAAAACTATAAAATTTATAACATCCAAAACATTAATCTTAGTTAGATCACATTGCTTTAGCTCGTATTTTTTTAAAAAAGTTTTTACAATTGAAACAAAACTTTCTATAATTAATAAATACGCAATTATTAATTTATAGATAAATTAATATCACTATAAATTAATAAAATATCATGGTCCCGACATTATTAATTTATAGAGGTTTTACTGTATTATTCTTTTACTTTATATCCACATAGACCTAAATAATAAACAATTTGTTTTCTTCCCGCTAAGCATTAATGAGCCTCCCTTCTTCTCAACTGTTATTTCACTTTAACGTACAAAAAAAAAAAAAACACAGAGAAGAGAGAGAGAGAAAGTTTCCGCATTAATGGTGGCTTCACCTACCAGTTGTCTAGCGGTGAGAGAGATTAATGTGACGACGACGACACAGAAGAAGCCATAGAGAGAGAGAGAACAAACCAAATCTACACTACATACAATCTCTTCCCTCATCTCTCTGATTCCGTTGCGCTGCCGAGAATGTGGAACTCGGCGGAGAACGCATTCTCGCGTTCGACGTCGTTTAAAGACGAAATCGAAGACGAAGAAGAGCTTCGTTGGGCGGCTTTACAACGTCTTCCAACTTATTCACGAATCCGCCGTGGTATTTTCAGAGATATGGTTGGTGAGCCTAAAGAGATCCAAATTGGTAACCTTGAAGCTAGCGAACAACGTCTTCTTCTCGACCGGCTTGTGAATTCCGTCGAAAATGATCCTCAACAGTTCTTCGCTCGCGTTAGGAAGAGATTCGACGCGTAAATCTCTCTTTCTATTTTAGTTCAAAATCATTCAATTTTGGTTTCATTGAGTGAATTTTATTTTTGGCAGTGTGGATTTGAAGTTTCCGAAAATCGAAGTTCGATTTCAGAATCTTATGGTGGAATCATTTGTTCATGTTGGAAGCAGAGCATTACCAACAATTCCTAATTTCATCATTAATATGGCAGAAGTACTTACAACAATTGACTCATTTTTTCTTCTAAGTTGTTGTGAGCTAATTGTTGTAATTAAGAAGAGTTTTGTTACAGGGTTTGTTGAGGAACATTCATGTGATTGGTGGAAAAAGAAGCAAATTAACGATTTTAGATGGTATCAGTGGGATTATTAGACCTTCAAGGTAATTTATATACATTTAATTGTAATATTTGTTACTATTTTTGTCTAAATTCTTTATGTGTTGCTCTTTAGATTGACACTACTACTAGGTCCTCCAAGTTCAGGGAAGACAACATTACTCTTAGCTTTAGCTGGACGCCTTGGAACTAATCTTCAGGTTAACCGTCGGTGACCGAATTCAATTAGAATCATAGCTTAAGTTCTCTCAAATATTTGTCACTATGCTTCTTGGTTTTGAGTTATTTTTGGTTTGGCTACTTTGAAGACATCTGGGAAAATAACATACAATGGTTACGATCTCAAAGAGATAATCGCGCCAAGGACGTCCGCGTATGTGAGCCAACAGGATTGGCATGTGGCGGAGATGACAGTTCGGCAGACTCTCGAGTTTGCTGGTCGTTGTCAAGGTGTTGGATTCAAATGTGGTAAGTACTAAGAAGCAATGTAAGTGCATTATATTTGTCTTAGTTTTTACTTGGTGTTTGACATAACACAATGTGAAACACAGATATGCTTTTGGAGTTAGCAAGAAGGGAAAAGCTTGCAGGAATAGTACCTGATGAAGATCTTGATATATTTATGAAGGTACTTGTGTTTTTTTTTTGTCAAAGGCTTAGTCTATTTCTTTTCTGGATTTAGTCATCCCCTTGACTCGTGACGGTTTTTCGAACGCTCCAGTCTTTAGCTCTCGGAGGACAGGAGACAAGCCTCGTCGTGGAGTATGTTATGAAGGTATTCTCCATAGCCTTTTAACATTTGGTCACAGTTCAAACAATACAAAGAAAACAGTATTGACAAATGTTTTAATGCTTACTTGTAAGAAAGTATAGGCAAAGTCTATCAGGTTAATGTCCTATTTCTTCAAACTCTTTCTGAAATTCTCATACATCCAACAAAGATTCTAGGGTTGGACACATGCGCGGACACATTGGTCGGAGATGAGATGATTAAAGGAATTTCAGGGGGACAGAAGAAACGACTCACAACAGGTTTGTCTTCCCATTCTTGATTTTGTTCATGCTTGAACATATAACCAGTAGATACTGACCAGTGCTAATTGAATTCACAGGGGAACTATTAGTTGGTCCAGCAAGGGTTCTTTTCATGGATGAAATATCGAATGGTTTAGATAGTTCGACGACTCATCAGATTATCATGTATATGAGGCATTCTACTCATGCACTCGAAGGAACCACCGTCATTTCTTTACTCCAACCGTCTCCCGAGACTTACGAGTTGTTTGATGATGTTATCCTAATGTCTGAAGGACAGATTATATACCAGGGACCTCGCGACGAGGTTCTTGATTTCTTTTCATCATTGGGATTTAGTTGCCCTGAGAGAAAAAATGTTGCAGATTTCTTGCAAGAGGTAAGATTTATTAAAGATTTTGAAGTAGAAATTAAATTGTTGTTTGAAATTTTTCTAAATGAGTTTCTGTTAGTAGGTCACTTCAAAGAAAGACCAGCAGCAGTACTGGTCAGTCCCTTTCCGGCCTTATCGCTATGTACCTCCTGGAAAGTTTGCTGAAGCTTTCCGTTCATATCCAACTGGTAAGAAGTTGGCAAAGAAACTTGAGGTTCCATTTGATAAACGGTTCAATCATTCAGCTGCGTTATCGACATCTCAATACGGTGTTAAGAAGAGTGAACTTCTCAAGATCAACTTTTCCTGGCAGAAGCAACTGATGAAGCAGAATGCATTTATTTATGTGTTCAAGTTTGTTCAGGTTTGGCTCCCAATTATATGTCTCTAGTTCCTTTTTTCTGTTGGAATGGTAATTGTCTTATTAATTCATTCTCTCTACATACTATGCGTTTGCAGCTTCTTTTAGTTGCCTTGATCACGATGACAGTCTTTTGCCGGACAACAATGCATCACAACACTATTGATGATGGCAACATATATCTTGGGTCACTTTACTTTTCCATGGTTATCATTCTCTTTAACGGATTCACCGAGGTTCCAATGCTAGTAGCCAAGCTTCCCGTCCTTTATAAGCATAGAGACTTGCATTTTTACCCAAGCTGGGCTTATACATTACCTTCCTGGCTTTTGAGTATCCCTACTTCAATAATTGAATCTGCGACATGGGTGGCAGTAACA